ACCCAACATACAGGACCACAGAATCAGGAGCAGTATCCAGTGAGCTGGGCTCACCCACCTCAACCATTAGTTAAGAAAATGCCCCCACGGGTTTTAAAGTCATCTCCTCTTGTCAGAAAACTCTCTTTTGCAGGCTCATCCTCTGTCACTGGATTTGATGAATTTAGGTGGGAGAAATTCATGGAGCAAAACTAGGAGATGCTGAAGCTCTTTCCCAGTGGTGTCAAGAAAGAAGGTGTTCTCATCTATCCCAGAAGAGAGCTCCAAATTGGATTTCCTCAGAGTGGCTCAACAGAAGAGTCCCCAGTTGTGGCATAATGTCCCACCAATCTGGCATCAGAGGGATAGCATGCAACCTCTACTGGCCATGAAACCCAGCTAGGCTATACCTGGCCTGGCTCCAGAGTTTTCAAACAGTCCCTAGGTCTTTTTCTGTGTTACAAATACTTTTTGTTGCTCTTATGTGAATTTTGACTTAGTTTCCCATGGATACATAGCCTATGCAAAGCTTGGTTTAGAGGAGACCTGGAAAACTGTGGTACCTCATGAATCAGGAATTTGTACCTGACATTGTACTGTTGGAAGTGCCTATTAGTTTGTTTTGAGATATGGAGATCTACTAGCTAAAGTGTAAAAATAGGAAAAAAAATAAAGATGCTGGGAGGTGAAGGCAAGGGCTTCAGTTCACTGAGACTGAGCTCCCTGCAGCCACGGAGGCTAAGTTCATTCTCAGTGTGTCTTTGTGTCTTCATTTCACAGACCCGCACTGAAATATTCTCAACACCAATGCCAGCCAACATCTTTACTGAAGCTTATGAAGTGCCAGGAATCCAACAATGCAACCACACTGTCTGATTCCGGGCCAACAGACACTGCAAGTTAATTGAGTGCAGCCTTGAAACCACTAACTTTTCTTGAAGTCATATAGTGACAAGGGACTGATACAGAAAACACCAAGAAAAAGAAGATATCAAGGGTTGCAGAGAAGTGGATATGCTAGAATATATTTATTCTTTAGGGCCATAAGCCCAACAAACTCATTTTGTTTCTGGGTGGCCCAAAAGATGCTCTGTTTACCAAGATGATGAGGATGGAGGCAATTAAGGGGTCACCAGCATTGTGGAGAAATTCAGAGTAGAGATAATTAACTAAACCCTCATTTTATAGGATGTATGGCTGCAGAATGTAGCTTCCTAGGAGTAATGGGAATGATAAGATCACAAAAGAATCCAGGCAGAACCATTTAGTTCTGAGAATTAATATAGGTATAATTATGGGATGGGTAACCAGTTAGGAATGGCAACTAGGACAGGAGTCGATTATAACTCCCAGCAATCTGTGGGTTTTGAAGGAGAACCTGATGTTCCTAATTGTAAGACATGGGCACCCAAACTTGGAGCATCTGTTACTGTAGGCTCCACAGACATATGTGTATCAGTACATATGTATATGCATATCTATTTATGTGTTATTATCATAGGTTAATGGAACAATAGGATTTTATCATGGCATTCTATATCAGTATATAATGTACTTTGATGATACCCATCTCTCAATCTCTCTCACTATATTTCTACTCTTTTCTAAAGTCCCTCTCTCATTTTCATATGTATGGTTTTTCCACATATTGAAGGAAATGTGATGATTGTCCTTGTGAGCCTGTCTTGTGAAAAGATTTTTAAAAAAGTCCTTGTTGTTAACTATAGGCACTCATGTTTAAAACATTAGTACTTACTGCCTTTGCTATGGACCACAGGCTCTGATAAGCTGTGTTTTCATTTTTATTTGATTTTAGGAATTTTACGCCTTCCTCAATGATTTATTCAATGACTGATCACTCAAATAATATATCATTTAATTTCTCTATGTCTGTATTGTTTCTGTAATCTTTTTCACTGCTGATTTCTATTTTCATTCCATTTCTATCTGATAACATACAAGAACGTATTTAAATTTTTATGTTTGGTAGAAGTTGATTTATGGTCTTAAATAAGATTTGTAAAAAGTTTCTCAGGGTCCTGAGAACATGTAGGATGTTTAATGGAACATTTTTAGATTTCTGTTTGGCCCATCTGACCTAATAGTATATGTTAGCCCTAAAGTTTTGTGGTAATTTTTGGAGAGGAGTCTAGATGATCAATTGGCTGAAGAAGACGCATTGAAATCTTCCACTATTATTATGTCTGGACCAATCAATCCCTTTGTATTAGTAGTGTTGGTTCTATCAAGTTAGGTGCATAATTTTCAGTGTATATATTGGATCTTGTGGGATGTTATCTAACATGTATATATGTACCCTGAAAGAACTTAAGAATGAGAAAATTTTCTAGGTTAGTGGCACCAATGGAAATCCATGGTTCTTCCTCCAAGTTCCATCTGGATAGATTTCTCAGACCCATGAGCCATTAATTGAAAAGGATGACAGTCCTCTGATAGATAGTGTGTCTCCAGTCAAAAAGCAAGGTCAGCTGGTTGTTTCTTAGCTTCTCTGATCTAGCAAGCTTTCACCCCTACATCTGACTTCTGAGTCTTCATTGGTAAATAGAACAATAGAGACTTGGTTTAAACCAATATATGGTTGAAACCCGTAACAGAGCTGGGGTGGTAGGACTAGAAGGCCCTCAAGGCACTGTCTGGGGGCTGGGGGGCTGCAGATGTTAATTAAAATATCAGTGGATTCATATGCAGACACTAAGCCAACAGAAAAACATCATTTGGCACCCAAGATAGGGTACCAAATGTAAAAGCCTTCTTTGGACTGCCAGACCCCAAATAATGACATGGAGACTTATTATTAATCATGGAAGTTTGGCCTTAGCTTAGACTTGTTTCAGACTAGCTCTTATAACTTAAATTAAGCCATTTATGTCAATCTACATTTTGCCATGTGGCTCATTGCCTCTCCTCCACAGAGTATGTACGACTTTCTTAGCGTCTTGCTGATATGCCTAGATTCATCCTTTCTTGCCCTGGAAGTCCTGCCTATTCTCCCCTGCCTAGCTATTGGCCATTCCGCTCTTTATTAAACCAATCACAGCAACACATCTTCACACAGTGTAAACAAATGTCCTACAATAATCAATCAAATCATATGTCAGTAGAATTCTCTAGGACAGTCCCCACAAAGCAACTACATCATAAGAGATGTCAGTAGAAGACCATAAGGCCACTTAACAGACCCAGTTATAGCTATCTTGCAGTATATAAAATCTTGGCGGAAGTGAGCTACCAGCATCTGGTATGAAATGAAAAGGGAGTCCTAATGCGTTAAAGGTAGGAGAGGACAACCCTGGGTCATGTAGACCCAGAAGAAGTATAAATTCACTGGCTTAACCTCAGGTTGTCTTGAATATTCTGCTCTTCATCACAATATGATCTGAAAGAACATAGAGCGTCTGAATACCTGAAATTGACTCACAGTGACTAATTGCTCCGCGATGGTGATATAGGGACCCTGACGAACAGTATATTTAGCACCGATGACCCACTATGCAGTCCTGGCAATTTTAGTTTGAGTTCTAAATGTAAACGGCCAAGAATAGCCACTGTAGCTAAATAAGAATATAGTAGCCACTGGCTCAGAGATCTCAGGTTATGATGTAAGTGAGTCATCAAAGAAGACATCTGATATGTTCACTATAACTTGATCTAGGTATTCCGACTAAATGAGCTGCAGTAACTAGAAGAAGGAGGTGTGTGGATGAATAAAAGGATGCTCTACCCAGGTGCCCTTTATTCTATGGTCCCCATCCTTAAGTTAGTGTGAGCATAAAATGCAGTTGGCTCACGCTGCTCATTTGTTATGTGCTATGTTCGTGGGGTACTTCTTTTCATATACACCTGCACCTCTCCTACGCCACATGGTCACAGACGGTGATAACTGAATAGTAGTGCAAAGGTCTGCTATAGGAAATCCTAGAGCCAGTAGTTACCCGCCCACTGGGGTGTGGCCTATTATACTATTCATGCCGATGTAGAGCATGCATCCGGTCTCTTTGTCCAGCTGCAGGATTTGGTTTCTGATCTCTGTTCCAGCAGAGGATTCTGATTTGTGAGTCTACCCCTAAATAAATAACTGTCTATTTCTCAATTTTGAGCTAGTGTGGAATTTCTTTTAAGTGTCCTTCTTCATTAAAGGCCCAGATCTTTTGCCTCTAAGGAAGGAAGGGTTGTAGTCTTGCTCAAATTCTAGAACCTCCCTATCAAATGGTATCAAATGTATTGGCATTTATAGAAAACATACTTTGTTTCTACTAATGTAATCTTCTCCCTGGAAGTTTCTTCTAGGTTCCTCGGGGGAGCCTTTTTTTGTTGTTATTGTTTTGGCAAAAGTTCCTGTTTAAGGCTCTACTTTTACGAAACCCAACAGAGCACACACTTCTTTGGACAGTCCCGTAAACACAGCCTAATTCAGCAAGCTGCTGACTGATAATCCCTTAAATACAGGTAGGAGCATAGAGGTTTGAACTCTCCTGCCTAAAGCTTGGTCTTTGTAAGAGACTGTCTGCAGGAGGGATCTAGGTACTGGCTCTAAACATCCATATTTATGCTTTCTAATGAAGACTTCTGAGGGAAAAGAGCTGGCATGCATGCCACCATGTTCTGTGGTCTTTTCATTTTCAGAGGTGGGCTACGGAAAATCTGACACATAGCAACAGGAAGAAAAAAGAAGACAAAATACTTTTATACTTATATGGCTGGAAAGCCCACATTTATTTAAGTTGTAGCAATGGCTCCATTTTAGGAAATAGGGCAGAGAACAAGTGCTTCCATGAGGGGGTCACATACTAGGTTCAAGGAATCTAAAGGAAATTCAACATTGCATTCATATAAGAAAGAGAGAGTACTATAGTGAGAGATGGGGTATATTTGTAGGCAAAAACAGCATTCTAATCAATTGGAATTAAGGACTTATAGCTGGCATCGCAGGATTAAGCTCACAGGTGGTCTACATCAAGAATGTTAGTTGGTGAAGAACATGAGACTGTGGGTATGAATTCTCAGCAACAAGAACAGCTAGAGCATGCTGGGCGACAGCAGGTGCTCTGGCAACAGGTGGGCCTGCAGCAGCTGGACACACAGCAGCTGGGACGGCAACAACTGGAGATGCAACAGCTGGGGTGGCAGCAAGTGGGCTGGCAGCACACAGACTGGCAGCAGCTGGGCCTGCAGCAACTGGATACACAGCAGCTGGGGCGACAGCAGGTGGGCTGGCAGCAAACGGACTGGCAGCACTGGGACCTGCAGCAGCTGGACACACAGCAGGAGGGGCGGCAGCAGCTAGACACACAGCAGCTGGGACTGCAACAACTGGAGTTGCAGCAGCTGGGGCGGCAGCAGCTGGACACGCAGCAGCTGGGGCGGCAGCAGGAAGGCCTGCAGCAGTTAGAAATGGAGCAGCTGGGGCGGCAGCAGCTGGGGCGGCAACAGGTGGGCTGGCAGCACACAGACTGACAGCAGCTGGGTCTGCAGCAGCTGGACACACAGCAGGTGGGCCTGCAGCAGGTGGTCTGGCAGCAGCTAGGCTGGCAGCAGCCTTGGCCACAGCCCTCCTCAGAGCAGACAGAGCCACAACAGGAGTTGACCATGGTGTCAGATGTGGAGGTTCTGGGTTGGTTTACAAGAAGGTGAATTGGAAGGTTTGGAAGTGGGAGTCTCCCTGCCCACATCCCCTTTTATACCCCACTGAGGGGCTGCTGTCCTCACCTGCAGCATTCTTTCCTTGTTATTGCTTGTGTTGATAAATATGTGATTATAAAATTAAGCAATATTCTTTTCCTGGTTACATTTTCAGGTTGGGTAGGAAACACCATTTCTCTTCCTGGTATGTTAGAATTTGTCAGTCAGCACTTCCTGCATTACCTTTCTAACACAGCATCATCAAAGGGCACCATCACATGGCATCTTGTCTCTTGATAGTACACACTTCGGGCTCAGTTCACACGACATAGTCTGTTCATTCTGGTGTAACATGCAATTGTTTCTAATCAGCCAGGGGAGTAAATCCGTGTTCTAATCTGACTGTCCATTTGTTACAGATGGCCAGAAAAGGCCTGAGTGTTAGACAGGGCACTGATGTATTCCTTGCCAGCTGTGATTAATAACTCAGTGTTTAGATTTTCTCTTTTTTTGTTGTTTGTTTGTTTGTTTGTTTGTTTTTTTGAGACAGGGTTTCTCTGTGGTTTTGGAGCCTGTCCTGGAACTAGCTCTTGTAGACCAGGCTGGTCTCGAACTCACAGAGATCCGCCTGCCTCTGCCTCCTGAGTGCTGGGATTAAATAAACTTTCTCATGGGGGGAACACAGCACTGTTTTCAGTTACGATTGTAAAACATGGCATTTTGCTATTTGCTTTTTGCCAAGCACAAACACTCCAAACTTATTCTTAGGGCATCTCAGGGGAAGTTGGCTGCCAAGTGCAGCTACAGCATGAGATCAAGGTCCCTTAACTTGCTGCTGAGGAGCTTATTTTCATTGTTGACTTATTGTCTTTGTAGCTTCATTGGGAGACATTAATCCATTTCCTGTTTTTAAGACACACTTGCCTACCCATCAACGATAGTTCACTGTGTGCTTGCCTGTTGCTCTAACTTGGATCCTACCATGTTGTGTTGTTGGGCTTTTAAAGCCCAAGGCTTTCCTGCTCCATCTTGGTTGTTGCTTATAATTTCCTTAAGCAGGAGACTAGAGGGTACAGATTTCTAACTCAGGATATCTGCCTATGTGTTCTCACTGTGAAAACATAGTGTATGCTTAAAGGCTGAAAAAATATGCCTTCTAGCTGATGACTCAGAAAACAAGAACTGCTGACAGTCCCTTATGTCCTCCCTGGAGTCAAGGGAACTTAAAACCAGCTATCCTGGCTTGGTGTCATGATCTTCCAGGTCCATGTCACACCTCTGTTAGTCTGGTCTCTCTGAGAACACCCATGCAAGCACATCTCCAGTCTGTTGTTGGCCTTCCTTGATGGAGGAAAGCCATTGGTTAGATAAAAATAAACTGCTTGGCCCTCATTGGTTAGAAGATAGGTGGGAGAAGTAAACAGAACAGAACGCTGGGAGGAAGAGGAAGTGAGCTCAGATTTCACAGCTCTCCTCTCGGGAGCAGACGCCTCAGAGAGACGCCATGCTCCCAGCTCCCAGGCAGACGCACGCGATGAAGCTCCGACCCAGGATGGACATAGGCTAGAATCTTCCCGGTAAGCGCACCAAAGGGCACTACACAGATGATTAGAAATGGGCTAAATTAATATGTGAGAATTAGCCTAGAAGAGGCTAGATAGAAATGGGCCAAGCAGTGATTAAATGAATACTGTTTGTGTGTTGTTATTTCGGGGCATAAGCTAGCAGGCAGCCAGGGTGCTGGGGGACGCAGCCCCACCACTCTTATTACTACACTTCCTATAAAACCTGTTCTTCTGAATGCCTGGAGACTGTAAAGATAGGAAAGAGTAACTGTACCGAACGATGGAATCATGTTTCTAAATGATTTAATCTTGCTTGCATGAAAGAAAACACTAACAAAGGGAAAATTTAGTGGCAATGTCAAATAAAAAAAATGACAAGACAACAAAATAAAACAAAAGAAATCTAACTAACCAGGACAGAACTAACTAACTAATCAGTTACTAATCATGAAGGTGGACAAGACTGGGAGGAGTGAATGCATCTCAAATTTTTTGGAAGGATTTTTTTAAATAACCTACAACTCCCATGGTTGTGCCCAACCCCATCAGCTTTTAATCTGACCAGGCGTATTTTGATCAAAGTAGCATATTGCTCTTGGGCTTGAGTGGAAAAGTGGGCTGAACTGGGCATAATAGTCCCCACCTGTATATCTCAGCACTTAGGACACTGAAAGACATCTGTGAGTTTGAGGGTCAGCCTAAGCTACACCATGAATTTGTGACTAACTTGAGCTACCTAGAAAGAATCCTCTCTCAGTAAAGAAGACAAGCAGTTGAGACCTATTGATGTGGAAGTAACCACTGCACACTTCTCAGAAATTGGTGGGGTTTATAGTAACCAATTCTCAGGTGCTTCGCACCATGGTGAGTTCAGGGTTAGTTCACACTGCCAACCGTTTGCAGACATCAACCCTGAGACGTTAAAGCTCCTGTACTCCACACGCATGCATGCTTGGAAATGTGTTATTTATGAAGAAGAGGAAATAGCTCTCTTCTCTCAGTAGCCAGAACCTACCTGCCAAATGTGTTTCATTCCACAAAGCAGAACAATGGCAATAAATGTGGGATACGGAGAGTAAAGTTAATGTGATAATGGCATCTTGACTGTGACTCATGAGTGACAAGCGGGAGACTTTGAAAACTGAGCCCCAAGAAGGGAAACTACAGTACATCAATGGCATGTGACTGAAGCACTCTGTGTGAAGGATTTGCCCTAGGTGACTACTAGGTGTTGATGGAGGGGAAGTGGACATCTCTGAGGAAAACAAGTGACTCACCCTGTGAGGTTGGCCTGTGGAATGAGTTGCCCTGAAGTAGTCAGTGGAGCGCCTTACATATGAGCTGTTATTGCTGAGGAAGAGCTGAGAGCCAGATGGAGATACAACGACTCCCAAAATTCCCTTTCTGCCCCCTGGCATCCTCAAGCCCAATTGAATCGCAATGCTTTAACAATGTTCTTTTGTAGCCGGGCGGTGGTGGCACACACCTTTAATCCCAGCACTCGGGAGGCAGAGGCAGGCGGATCTCTGTGAGTTCGAGACCAGCCTGGTCTACAAGAGCTAGTTCCAGGACAGGAATCAAAAAGCTACGGAGAAACCCTGTCTCGAAAATAAAAAAATAAAATAATAAATAAAAAGTTCTTTGTGCTTGAACTATTTTGGCTCCAGTATTGGTCCTTTTTGCTAGATTCATGTAGCCAGGATAATAGCCTGAGCTGCCCATTGGGCCTCTTTAGGAGAATTGTCTGGTATCCTGTGCCTGCATCATGTTCTGGCTCTGATAAATGTAGACACAGCTTAGGAAAGTCTTGTACTTTTCTTCTGTCAAAGCAAAAGGGACAAAACAACACTCGAAGTTGCTGTGGACAAAGACCCTGGTGACCCAACTGCAGTCCCCAAGGGGCAGTCAAATGTCCCCAGAAGCTCTGTGGTTCAGAGAAAGAATGGCCCTCGAGCAACCCTGGTGACTAGCGACTACACATGACCTACTGGTGATCAGAACTCATTTCTAATATTTCTGTTTGGTGCCCTGCCCCAAATCTCAGTTGCCTGCTTGAAATTTTTATTCATGTTGCCGACCATCAGCTCCTCTGCTTCCTAATGTTTTTTTTTTTTAATCACATCCAGGTATGACCCTGCTCCTCTTCATGGCTGTCTCTTGTGTCCACTTCCCACTTGGACACTGTGGCAGGGCATCCTCAGGCTCCCTGACATGTGACTGATCCTTTCTTATAGGTTCCCAGAGTAGCTCAATCTCAAATAGTAGATTCCTCGCAAGACCATGGCTGATGACACTCTGAGGTACGCGGAGAAACAAAATAGACTCTGTCTCCAGTGCTGGCCTGTCATACAGGAGGACTCACTGTTACATAAATCCCAATGTTGGATTTAAGCTTGTAGGAACCACGAGTTTTCTCCTCCAGAGATGAGTGGATGATCTAGTTTGCTTTCTGTTGCTATGACTCCATGACTGGAAGCAACTTCAGGAGGAAAGAGTTTATTTTAACTTACTTACAGTCCACCATCAAAGGCAGGATCTCAAAACAAAAACTCAAGAAGAAGCCACAGAGAAAATTAGTCCCTGGCTTGCTTCCAGGTTCCAGGCTTGTGTTTAGCTGCCTTTCAAAACCAACCAGAGAGAGTGTCCCCACCCACAGAGGCTTCCCATGCCAATCAACCATTAAGGACACACATCCCCACAGTCCAATCCAAGGGAGGCAATTCATCAGCTGAGCGTCTCTGTCCCAAGCAAGGTGTGTCAAGTTGACAACCAAGATTAACTGTCACACTGGCTTATCATGTGGTTGAGGCTTTGGTTCCCTCCTTCCAGGAGCTGGATGCAGTTGTCACACTTTTCTCTGAGTAACACTTCTGTTTCTCTGGCCAAAAGCCAGATTCAGAAAGATAGAGATTGTGTGTTTTCTGTCATACATAGAGTCCAGCATTGGGGCTGTATGTAATTTACAGGTAGAGTGCTTGGTTGGTATATTCAGAGTTTAGAATATGTAACTATTTCTAACATATCTACACATGTATATATATCCACACACACACACACACGTGACATGAACATAGAAGGAGGACTATTTGGGGACAGAAAGATGACTACAGCAGGAGTGAGTGAGATAGGAAGTTGTGATGCAGGGTTAATGTAGTTATGTTATAATAAATATATACTTTGATAACATTTTAAAAAGAAAAAATGAACCACCAACAGTGTTTTACATTTGTATATATTTTTCTGTAAATGACATGATTTCATTTTTGTGGTTGAATTATATTGTTCTGCATATATATATCATAATTTTTTATTAATTCATCTGTTGATCAGCCTAGGCTGATTTCAATATTCTGACCAATGAAAATAGCTAAACAATAATTATGCACATGTACATATCTCTTTTG